GAACTTAATATTTATATCAACAATTGTTTCCATGCATAACAATTATGCCATCACATCTTGCTAGGATAAACATTGGCACCTTGCTTTGGCAAAACCTACCAAATGTTGATCTAAGCAATGATGAATACTTGTCAACAATTGTATCCATACATGTCATGCATGTAATTCACAAATTATATATCTCATATACAATAACAATGCATCATATGCAATATAAGCTGCTACGCAGAGGTAGCACGACGGTCCCGCTACATGGAAACATCGAGTCAATGATTACCCTTAAGTCCACCCAGTTACGGATGACTAGGAATAATATCAAAGTATATGACTCACATGTTGGGAACCTTGATGATCTCAGGTCTAAGGATAATACATATAAGAACCACTAATGACAATCATATAACATTCCATGTAGGGTTCTTATGTGGGTCGGTCCAATCCACAAGTTCTCTAACTTGTACCCGTATGTAGAATTGATATCTCATATAATTCTCAACATACGCTAGTCTTAATTTATTATTACAACCCATCCATAATAATAATCGACTAGGGACATTTTAGAATACAAAGTATTCTAGGGTTATAAATATGTGCAAGCGATTATCTCATAATCATATTTATTAGAATAACCTCAATGTATATACATGACTCATACAATCATCCATTGATTTGGCTTTTGGGCATATCATTAACAATCTCCCACTTGCACTAAAGCCAAGCAACCGTGTATCTAATACCAATGGATGCGCAATGACCATCATGCTTCTGCTGCGTGAGTGGCTTCGTCAAGGGATCTGCTACATTGTTCTCAGAAGGAACTCTACACAGCCTGACATCGCCTCTATCTATGATCTCTCTAATAAGATGATAGCGTCGGAGTATATGTTTGGATCTCTGAACATATGAACATCGATGTTTTGAGAATCTGATTCTCCCAACAACCTGGTAATGCTCATGGACATCGATGTCCTATCCTAAACATCGATGTCATTTGGCCTCTGGAACACAAGAACATCGATGTCAGATTCTTGAACATCGATGTTGGAAGGTTCTGAAAGTCCAAGAATTAGGCAGTAGTTTTAAACATCGATGTCTAACCCTTAAATATCGATGTAGGACTCATGAACATCGATGTTCAAACTTGAACATCGATGTTGGAGACCTCTGCCAATTCAAGTTTCATGGCAGTACTTTTAAACATCGATGTATAGGCCCGGAACATCGATGTTTTCGATGTTCCCTACTGAACATCGATGTTTCAGACTTCTGCCAAGGCCAAAACTCATGTGAACATCGATGTTGAACCATTGAACATCGATGTTCTGGCCTCGATGCACTAGAACGACCATCGTTCCTTACGAAAACCGACAATCGATTTTCCTTTTGTCGAACCCCTTCGACTTACTGCCAAGAACCTCTTGATTGATATCACATACCAATCAAGTGCTTGTTGTCAAAACCCTTTTGACACAACCAACCTCAACATATATCGCATATACAAAAATGAATTCAGCATATCACATATACCAAAATGAATT